TTTTAGACGCGTCGTGTCTACATGCTTGCTTGCTTGCATGGCATTCTTAAAATATTTCCTGTCATGACGTCAGAAGATTTTTCATTAAACAATGACAATGCATATTTCTTTAGAAACGTCTTTTTATAATCATGCATACTTATAAGAAATTCTCTATAAAACATTAATGCACTAAAACGGTGAATAGTGCAATTTAAAAATATCTGTTTGTGAAGTTATAAAAGGTGTTGGACTCAAACATTTTAAAAATACTCAAGTCAAACAATTTGTTTACAAAGGCAATTTAAGTTTAATAATTTTAAATCAAGATAATTTGTTGACGAATTATAATTACCGTCAACATATTTAATTTGTTAAAATAAAATTAAAGTTAAATTGGAATAAGTTTAGCATTAGGCAAATAAATAATTTAACAAGGGAAATCTTATTGAAAACTAGTCGGCAAACTTACAAGTTAGAATGATTTATTTTTCATTGAAAACTTTTAAAGTTTATCTGTTTACCGATATTAAATATATTTAAAAATATAAAAATCTTCATCTAACCATATTCTTGTTTTTGAAGCGGTTAATTATTATTTTAAAAAGTGAAAAATTATTCTTAACTGAAAAAAATCAATAATCACTAGAAAAATATTAAAAGTTTAATGTAGAAATATATAGGTGCTTGGCGTCTAGACCAAGAGTCGGCAAACTACGGCAAATTTGTCCGCCAAAAAAGTCGTCAGCCAGAAAAAATAATGAAAAACAAATCGTATAAAATTTTCCCCCAGGTCGAAAAAATTTGCTTTTTAGGTAAAATACCTTCAAAGGTAAAATAGTTTGCCCACCCCTGGTCTAGACTAGACAGTTGTTTAAGTAGGATTCAAATAAAATATTATCAAAAGTTTTGATCGAAAATGTATCTTTCCCACTAACAAGAATGTCTTCTGATTGATAAAATAGGAATAGTTAACAAGTTTTTCACAATAGTTAAAATTAGAAAAATTTTTACGACCAAACTCAACAGTATTTGTTCAATAGTTGTGCAGTTAATATTTATGTTTAGATTATGCCACGTATTCATGCGTAAGTTAAACAATCCAGAAATTTTAATGAAGTAAACAAAATTATTTTGATGTTTCAAAACGATGATGTATTTTTTGCTTTTTTAATTAATCTTTATCTTTCTATCTATCTGTTTATCTATTTATCTACCTACCTACCTACCTACCTACCTACCTACTTACCTACCTACCTACCTACCTACCTACCTACCTACCTACCTACCTACCTACCTACCTACCTACCTACCTACCTACCTACCTACCTACCTACCTACCTACCTACCTACCTACCTAATGGTTTATTATATATATATATATATATATATATATATATATATATATATATATATATATAAACCCTAAACCTAACCTTAACACATACTTTCTATCATTTTAACATTTCTTTTTATAATTTTTATCGAAAGTGTCATTTTCATTTGTCCTCTGTTTAAGTTTTCTAAAACAGGTGCAATGCTTCAAATAATGGTTTTATTCCAGTTTTATTAGCATTCATTTACAAGCGTTTACTAAAGTATGCACAGTACAAATACGGTGTACATGCCTTGCATGTTTTACTTTTTTTTCTTTGTCTCTGTGTAGCTTTTAATATTTATTGAACACATCTAAAATTATTTATACATTTACGTTTAAATTGTATTTCAGCATATAATTTAACAAACACCAATAGGTTTTTATTTGATAATTACCTCGTTAGAGACTCGAGGCTAAATAATTTAGCAATTCGTGCCACGTTTCACGCTTCACAAAACATGGAATGTTGTTTGATTGCTTTAAAAAAGAGCTGCATAGCGCTCGTCGTGTGTTAGATTCAGTCTGCTCGTGTTTTTATTCACATAGAATATGCATAGATATAGCACGTTTTAATGTGCTTCGTATGAATGGCGCGCAGTCGTTTAATGCTCACCAACGATTTAAACCTGCCTTACAATGAAATAGCTTGTTACTTAAATTAGCTTTATTCTCATGTTGATGGGTCGGCGGGTCAAGTATGCGCAGGTGCGTATATATATATATATATATATATATATATATATATATATATATATATATATATATATATATATATATATATATATATATATATATATATATATATATATATATATATATATATATATATATATATATATATATATATATATATATATATATATATATATATATATATATATATTTTTTTT